TCCCGGGGCCTTGCCGAAATGCCTGTACACCTCGCGGCCCTTGCGAGGACCTGGGGGAGGGAGGGAAGGGGCAGATCAGGCAGAAACCCAGCACCCAGCGTCCTGCAACGAGCCCCTTTCCTGGGCTCAGGCTGATGGGAGGTGCGGTGGAGAAGTCCCAGTGTGAGTAGTCACACTGCTCACCCCCCTCACTCACACGGGGACCTGGCCCCACCATGGAGACTAAGCATCGCTCACCAGAAAGCAAGACGGTGCCACAGCCCTTGGGGGAGTCCAGGGCCAGCTGGTCGAAGGTGAGAATCTTGCCCCCAGCCTTGAGGATGCGGCTCCGGGCGCGGCTGCTCACACGAAGGGCACACACCTAGGGGACACAGAGGCTGTGGGGAAGAGAGGAGGTCAGGGCCGATTGTAGCTGGGACTCCGCCAGTGTTGCTGCCTCTAGCTGAGCAGCATAGGACAGGAGGGGGCCTCAGTAGTGATACCAACTGGGCAAGCCTGGCCGTGCAGGAAGCCAAGATGGCAAAGTGGGTGGTGAACACACCAGGCCCTGGGGGTCAACCTGAGAGCCCAGAGGCGGGTAAAACGCAGACCCCACCTGGGAGATGCCCACTAGGCCTAACCCAGCTGCCCCTTTAACACCAGCTGCACAGGGAGCACAGCTCTGAGCCTGGAAGGCGAGTGGGTAGGACGAGGCGGGGAGCGGTAGGGAGGCCCGAGGCTGGCTGGTGGGAGAAAGGGAAGCATGGCAAGGCCAGACTGCACTGTGGGAGTCGGGTCTGAAGCACAGGCTGGCATACTCACTTGGTGTGGCTGTGGGGGGTTCCTGGGGCCTTGCCGAAATGCCTGTACACCTCGCGGCCCTTGCGAGGACCTGGGGGAGGGAGGGAAGGGGCAGATGAGGCAGAATCCCAGCACCCAGGCCTCCTGCAACGAGCCCCTTTCCTGGGTTCAGGCTGATGGGAGGTGGGGTGGGGAAGTCCCAGTCACACTGTTCAACCCCCTAACTCACACGGGGACCTGGCCCCACCATGGAGACTAAGCATCGCTCACCAGAAAGCAAGACGGTAGGCGGGTAAAATGCAGACCCCACCTGGGAGATGCCAACTCGGCCTAACCCAGCTGCCCCTTTAACACCAGCTGCACAGGGAGCACAGCTGTGAGTCTGGAAGGCGAGCGGGTAGAACGAGGCGGGGAGCTGGAGGGAGGCCGGAGGCTGGCTGGTGCGAGAAAGGGAAGCATGGCAAGGCCCAGACTGCACTGCGGGAGTCGGGTCTGAAGCACAGGCTGGCATACTCACTTGGTGTGG